CCCCCCCAACCTGACTGTTATATAAACGCTGCAATTCTCTGACCATTTTATCCCTAATTTCATGTATCGGCCTGATGATGAATGACCGAAAACAATTGATTGGAGTAAGTTTAAGAGGTAGGTGTAGGTTTCCACTGGGTGGTTTTAAACTGAAGTTACCATATTATGCTACCTGTCCGAAGACGGTTTGGCTGATGATATTGACCGTAAGTAAATTATACTCCAGATGGGAAGATGCACGTAGCTACAAAACCTTCCTCAGCAAACTAGCTAATAAAAGCAAAAGGGAAACCTTTGCAGTTTGCAAACACATTTCTTTGTTTTTCATAAACGCTCAGACTGCCAGAATATTACAAAATAGAATCGTGTTATTAAACTTAGTCTGTCGAATAGAACTGCTGTTTTGGTAGGATATCCACAGCATTCAACATATCATCGTCAGCTACTTTATTAAACACAGTGCTCTGGGTTCTCTTCGTCTCGTCAACATGCACCAATAGTTCCGGCGGATTGCTCCATATTCCATTCATCAGGTGCGCATTCTTCTCTGAAATTAAATGCAATCGAGTGATCAGGTGAGTCAAATAAAAATTTTGTCCTTTTCATACCTTTTCCAATAAAAGGGGAACTGTGTCAAGCATGAAGATATCATGATTTGAGGTTTTTAATATTAGGTCATTCATTTCTCAAATAGGATCAGTTAAATGTCGTTAGTCTAGTTTCATAATATTTCCTGCCTTAACGGATTTGACAGTACCAACAAATTCGCGTGTTTTCCCTAATTTTAGATCACGCAAACGTAAACTTTCCTGCTGAATGCACACCTACATTTACAAAGACATTTAAACAAACAGAACGTGTTGTAACCAACCATAAATTTCATCCGTAGTAGCATTTTGTCCACCGTATTCTTTTGGCATGACATCCTGCAGACCGGCGACGGCGTCATAGGCTTGTTGCAAACCTTCCTTCAAAACCATTACCTAAATTTGTTGCCTTTAATGAAAATGTTGTTCACTTATGATAGACGGGGAAAGAACAGACAACACAAAGAACGAACGAAGAGTTATCTTGCCTGCTTTTTTGAATCGTCTGACAGCCATTCATTCGATATCTTATAGAAGGGTTCAAATTGGTCGGGAAGATTGAAGTAAATCATTTTATTTGCTCGAAGTGGCAAGGCCTCCTAAAAACGAAATTCTCGGGCATAACTGCAATTAGGAGATCATGTTTCGTTTTTACTAAAAACTATGGCGAAGTAACTCGAAACCTCTGAGGATATGTGCCCACTAAAACAGACACAATGTCTTATTTGGAATTCCAGACATTAAACGACGTGAAGTTCTCTTCAAGTACTTCGGTTTACTTAACGATCCATACTTTTTGAGGACCTGAGGAGGTATCGTGTAAATTTTGTGGATAAAAGCACAGGCGTCTCTATAGCACTGTCACTCAGTCAGTCATTTAATGTTCATCAGAGTGCTAGAGGCAGGTTTCCTGTTGCCGATCAGGAGTACAAAGACAGAATAAAGTAAGTTTTTGTTAAATACATGAAAAATACTTCTGCTTTCCAGAGTTGCTGTTGAAATCTCGGAACATCTATCATAATAAAATGTAGCAATGAGTGCAGTGTCGTTGGTAAACATGTTTTTTAAGGTACCGGTAGCTGTCTGACATATGAACCTAATTTATTTGACCAGTTAAGACCGGCAATACCAATTGTACGCAACTGAAACGTTACAACTTTAAAAAGGCAATTCAAGACCGCACAAAAGTACTGTATCATCACAATAGGGGTAAATGTAATACAGTGAACGCCCGAAGCACCAGTCTTTATCTTCTAACGCACATATATTTTTACGTAGTTATAATATCTGCATACTTTCGTTTATAGCCATGAAATCGGTAGGAACGCTCTTAAGTAAAAGTACATTAGGAACCTCAGTTAAAAACCATGAGTATCTAAGGACTATAGAAGCAATTACAAAACAAGTGTCCTAAAGATCTGCAAATTACCTTCGGTTCTAATTAATTTGCTGACATTAAATAGCTTTGTTAGTCGAACGCCGATTTTACAAAATGAGACAACTTATATAAGGAAATATACCTATATTGTTTAAAGCCTACCTGCCAAAACGTGTTCCTTTACATAGCATTTTCTTGTAAATCTTGCTTACGAAGACATTAAAAAGTTACAAGTGACTGTGTTATACAAGGAGTAATTATATAGCAAGTAGCCATGTAACTTACCTGAAAATATTTGCAACTCAATTCTGAAACGTTTTGATCACTCATTTGCTGAAGTTCCCTCAGTTGCATATTGGACATGTCCATAAGAAATATGAAGCCGGCAATCTGTACCCTCGGATCAAGCAGCATTACGTCATTCCAGATTTGGCTGGCACACATGACTTCGTGGAAGGTGACCACTCCGAAATTCAACCTGTCTAGGCACGCATTACTGGACGGTTATTCACGCTTACCAGCCTTAATTAACACGCAAAAAGTCCCCTCAAACGTTGAACCCAGTGGAATGAGGTATCTAAAATCCATTTTCGGAAAAAAAAGTGGTGAAGTGATAGGCATACTCCAGTTTATTTGCCTCAAAGGCGCTTTGAAAATTCTTAAAATATGGTAGCTTATCCGATTCTATCCTCACTCATGAATACAATATGCGAAACTTGGAGTTATTTTTGAAGTTCTTCCAAATCACCCTAGTTTTGTTATCATATGCGCGACCTTACAACATTCGAAGACATATCTACATGTGGGGTCTG